TAGTAATAAATGGAAAACGTTTCAGAGTGACTGGTGCCCTTTCGCACGCTGCAAACATGTCGTTTATGCCTAAGATGCGAGTGAAGCTGAACAAAGACCTTCAAACTCTTAACTATTAACATGGCTTTGCAACTGGGGGAGGGGAGAACCCTCAGTCCACCTTTATATGTAGGTCTGGTTCCGTATAAAATTTTCTTCCGTGCTTTGTCCAGCCTAGTTTTAGACATCTTAGGCATTGTGATTCCCACCACTTCTTCTGATACACAATTCACAGGATAACAGATCTCACAGACTTCTCTCCAGTCACTAGCCTCATACGTTCATTAGAACCTTGCTGTACACATCTTGCTTGGTCTTCTCATCCAGAAATCCTGCTTATCTACACAGGACTACTCACATGAGTAAGGAGGCAGAATTCAGCCTTTCACGTTTACAATTATTTAAAGCCCTCCAAGTGCTTTCTCTGCAAAGGTTTTTAAAGAATGTACATTCAGTACTTTGAATATTCAACGCGCTGTCCCAAAACGCTTAGTACATGGCTTCTCAGGGAGAATTTATCGCATAGATCGGGAATTCAACGATGATCATATCCTTTTAACGGGCCACAGCGCTGGATTTGGTAGTGCAATGGTTGTCACTAGCCAGCTGATTATTGGTTCATGGCAGGTGAAGGGATATCTTTTATGGACTAAATTCTGGTGGTGGAAGGTACAAGCCTTCAGACTACACAGAGCTCTTCTCTGAGTCTGGGGAAGGCACTGAAGAATTCCTTCTCTCCTTTTGTCCTCCTCCAAACCTGAAGGGTTTTTTGTCTTCCCCCCCCCCCCCCCACAGTACCTAATCATTATGCAAAGACACATGCACTAGGCATTTCTTAAAAATATGCTCATGGACACAAATTCTAAAGCCTCAAGATCCCACACCGCTGAAGCCAAAGGGATGATGTGTGCACTGCATATCTGTAAAAACAGGCCTTTAATTAAATACCTGGGGTAATGAAAACTTCAGATGGGGAAGGCAGGAACAAGGCAAACGGCATCAGTACTGCAGAGGATAAAGCCAAGCTTTGCACCTAAGCTGACAAGTAGACAGAATCCTCACCAACACATTTATTTTCTTCATTCGTTGTTTTATCCAGTGATTGCTTTTTGTTTGTTTTTTAGCGTTGTATTAAACTCGCAACAGGCTGCTCCTTAGAGGAGGATTCAGATTATTCACGCTGTCAGCAAAAGCAGCAGACAAACAAATAGGAGAGAGGTCTTTTGGTCTTCGGAAAGAAAGAACGAACTACGTCTGCGTTTACCATTCTCAGTGGCAAACAGCGGGGTTGACAGTGATGAATAGGAAGGTCAGGACACCAGCATCTGTCTCAATTTTCCTGACTGAGATGGCATCTTAGGCCTTGGTTGGGCGGAGCAGGTCACCTGCCCCTGCTGCTCAGGTTGGCGGCACCTGCTATTGAATGTCTGAGTGCCCCTGATTTTGTCTCGTAGAACAATTGCCTCCAGATCTCATGGAATTTAAGGAATCGCACTTTTAAAACCGATATTAAATGTCATCCATTTTCCTTAGTGTTTGGGGGCTTTAAGAGGATAAAAAGACGCCGCTTAGTGATCCATGTTAACGAATGGGAAGAAAACGTGACAGGGTTACGAAGCCCGTTTTCAGCCAAGCGAGAGAGAGCTAAGCTATTATTAATGACAGACACTTCCCATTATTTTCAGCAGCAGAGACTGGCCCTTCATGAAGCCAGACTGAACACAGATGTTGACCCTGCAGAGAATTTGGGATTGAAGGCAACTTTTTTAGGGCCATCACTCTGATTAGACTCTCACGTGTGGAACGATTGCAAAATTCAGATATAGTTCACATGACTTGGGCCCAGACTGATCTCCACAGAGGAATCCAATAGGAATATGGAGGATTTAGGAGAAGCTTATGGATCAGGTCCTCACACAGAAGCAACCTAATTGGTTAACCTCCGAGGGAACTTGTTTACTTTGGTAGGGAATAATAACAGCTGCTGCTGAATTGAAACCATCCTAGCAACATTTGTGCTCAACAAGGACATTTGGCCAGAATAAACTGGTACTTACCTGGTATTACATTTCAGTTTGCCTGGCTGATAACTAGGTCAACATTGCATTAGGCCCAAATTCTTATTCAAGTAACTCATTTAGTGGCTTATGTAGAGGTTAGTACAGGCAGTCCCCGGGTTACGTACAAGATAGGGACTGTAGGTTTGTTCTTAAGTTGAATTTGTATGCAAGTCGGAACTGGCGTCCAGATTCAGCCGCTGCTGAAACTGACCAGCGGTGGCTGAATCGGACACGCCTGGGGCAGAGCAGCTGGGGTGCTGCTGGGTTGGTCCCGCAGCGCCG